TTACTAGTTGCCAAAGTTTCAGATTGGACTTGGAAAATCTTTCAAAATAGAGAGAGCTCCGAATGGTGAAAGGGGCACTGATTTAGTGCCTGCAAAAGACTCTTCAACAGTCAAGTTAGAAACAATGGAGAAAGATGGGTTTGATGTTCTATGTTAAGCACATTTCGTTTTTCAACATATTTGTACTGTTTAAAGAAGTTGTCCTTATATAGTGTTCGGGTGTAGACATTTGAACGAGATGTGAACGTAGATTGTAGGTGAATGGAAAATATATTTATTTTAGGAATATTTGAGTAACACGTCCAATTAAAGTTAGATTAGAGGTGGAAGCATGACAATATGAAATCAAGAACAATTTTACTCTTGGAATTTAAAAGCTTAGTAAATGGTGAGTCAAGACTTTAACACAAACTAAAAGAGGAAGGAAATGAAAGTACTTTATACCTTTGAAGAACATTGTTTGCTTTCACAAAATATTCATCTCAGTGAGGGCCTTCAATCCTTTCTCCTATGCTCTGTCTTGTAGTGTTGAATATAATTTTCAAGTTCCAACACGATGGAACCTCTTAACGTTCAGGCCAAGGAAAGATTGAAAAGGAGATGGATGATCTAGGAGAAGATTTGGTGCTAACAAAATAACGCCTTGATGGCCGGCCTATTAGAAGGAAAAGGGAGATTGATGTTTCTCCAATTTCCTCCACAAAACCCTAAATAAGTCTATGCTTTTAACTCTCTTATATAGTCTTAGGATGAATAAGACTATGCTTATAACTCTCTTATATAGTCACGCCCCAACTTGAATAAAAAGGAAAACTCAACTTTCAAGTCAGGGAATGAATCACATCTCAATTCTAGTTAATAACTTACGACAAAAACTGAAATGTGACAAAAAATAATACCTAAGTATGTATTGAACATTAAGTCCAAAGGTATTACACATAATTCCCAAAAGGAAATTTAGTTCTTACACACCACATAATACATAGGTGAAATTATATAAAGGGTGAGACCATATTCATTACCCTAATTAATTATACAATATTATACAAAGGTAATTCTTCACTCTCGCTTAAGGTTTAGGGTTCTAGTGAGGTACCTATAGGCCTGGCAAACGGGTCGTGTCTATCGTGTTCGTGTCGTTTTCGTGTAACACCTGTTATCTTAACGGGTCGTGTCGTGTCACACCTGTTATCTTAACGGGTCCTTAACAGGTCGTGTCACTTTACCCAACGGGTAAAGTGACCCAACCCGTTATGACCCGTTATGACCCGTTAAGAAAAAAATATATTTTTTTTAAATTTGCACATACCACACATTGCCACGTAAATATTACTTCAAAACATTAAAACATTTCTCGTTCAAGTACTATGTCTACACTCAAAAATAAAAGCCTAATAAAAAAATAATACATACACTACTAATCTATTACAAATGTTAAATGTGCAAGGATAAAGAGTTTTTGTTTTTAAGATTGTAAGTCTTTCTCAAAAGTTTACACCTTCATTTACAAAATCTTCAATTTACATCGATCATCATGAAATTGTATTAGAACTTTGGCTTGATTTATTGCCTTCAAGAGTAATGTTGAAGTTTATTTATAATTTCATTAAGTATAACATAAGATCCACATGTGTAAATATTTTAAATTGAAGATCAAATTGATTCATTGTATTCATATAGGGTCAAGGAGTGTAGTTATAAAAAATCATCAAAATCGGAGTTAAAATAACCGTTAAATCGTGATTTTTCGTTTATAACCGTTGAAAAGCTTTGTCCCGTTACTTGATCTCTGAATGTTTTTTTTTTTTGTGATTTTTTGCTGAAGTGATCTCCAAGCATATACAAACAATTTTGACGGTTTGGATCGTTGAAATTAGTTTTGGAGAATTCGTAAAACGATAGATTGACTAACACTTAGAGTTTATTTATACTTTCATTAAGTATAACATAAGATTTTGTGGTATCCACTTGTGTAAATATTTTTAATTGAAGATCGAATTGATTCATTGTATTCATATAGGGTCAATGAGTGTAGTTATAAAAAATCATCAAAATCGGAGTTAAAATAACCGTTAAATCGTGATTTTTCGTTTATAACCGTTGAAAAGCTTTGTCCCGTTACTTGATCTCTGAATGTTTTTTTTTTGTGATTTTTTGCTGAAGTGATCTCCAAGCATATACAAACAATTTTGACGGTTTGGATCGTTGAAATTAGTTTTGGAGAATTCGTAAAACGATAGATTGACTAACACTTAGAGTTTATTTATAATTTCATTAAGTATAACATAAGATTTTGTGGTATCCACATGTGTAAATATTTTAAATTGAAGATCGAATTGATTCATTGTATTCATATAGGGTCAAGGAGTGTAGTTATAAAAAATCATCAAAATCGGAGTTAAAATAACCGTTAAATCGTGATTTTTCGTTTATAACCGTTGAAAAGCTTTGTCCCGTTACTCGATCTCTGAATGTTTTTTTTTTGTGATTTTTTGCTGAAGTGATCTCCAAGCATATACAAACAATTTTGACGGTTTGGATCGTTGAAATTAGTTTTGGAGAATTCGTAAAACGATAGATTGACTAACACTTAGAGTTTATTTATACTTTCATTAAGTATAACATAAGATTTTGTGGTATCCACTTGTGTAAATATTTTTAATTGAAGATCGAATTGATTCATTGTATTCATATAGGGTCAATGAGTGTAGTTATAAAAAATCATCAAAATCGGAGTTAAAATAACCGTTAAATCGTGATTTTTCGTTTATAACCGTTGAAAAGCTTTGTCCCGTTACTTGATCTCTGAATGTTTTTTTTTTTTGTGATTTTTTGCTGAAGTGATCTCCAAGCATATACAAACAATTTTGACAGTTTGGATCGTTGAAATTAGTTTTGGAGAATTAGTAAAACGATAGATTGACTAACACTTAGAGTTTATTTATACTTTCATTAAGTATAACATAAGATTTTGTGGTATCCACTTGTGTAAATATTTTTAATTGAAGATCGAATTGATTCATTGTATTCATATAGGGTCAATGAGTGTAGTTATAAAAAATCATCAAAATCGGAGTTAAAATAACCGTTAAATCGTGATTTTTCGTTTATAACCGTTGAAAAGCTTTGTCCCGTTACTTGATCTCTGAATGTTTTTTTTTTGTGATTTTTTGCTGAAGTGATCTCCAAGTATATACAAACAATTTTGACGGTTTGGATCGTTGAAATTAGTTTTGGAGAATTCGTAAAACGATAGATTGACTAACACTTAGAGTTTATTTATACTTTCATTAAGTATAACATAAGATTTTGTGGTATCCACTTGTGTAAATATTTTAAATTGAAGATCGAATTCATTCATTGTATTCATATAGGGTCAATGAGTGTAGTTATAAAAAATCATCAAAATCAGAGTTAAAATAACCGTTAAATCGTGATTTTTCGTTTATAACCGTTGAAAAGCTTTGTCCCGTTACTTGATCTCTAAATGTTTTTTTTTTTTGTGATTTTTTGCTGAAGTGATCTCCAAGCATATACAAACAATTTTGACGGTTTGGATCGTTGAAATTAGTTTTGAAGAATTTGTAAAACGATAGATTGACTAATTCCCTCACTTTTCGTAAAACGATAGTTAATAACTTAAAAAAAAAAAAATTTCTCACCACTTCTATTAATTTTCATTTTTCCCTCTCTTTTTTGTTACCTTTTCAACTTTTTCTTATCATTTTCACTTTTTCCTTCAACATCTTTCCCTAATTCCCTCACTTTTTTGTTTTATTTTCAACTTTTCTTAACATTTTCATTTTCCCTCAAAAAGGGCGGCAAAGTTGGCAAATGGCAATGGCAAAAAATTGATTATTGAAATTTGAATGGAAACAAATCACATCTGAGTCTGACGCATCAAATTTCAATGGATGCAAAATCATGCAAATATGCAATGCATGATCATGCATATTAAATTATTAATTAATAATTATTACAGTTTTTATAAAATTTAATATATATATATATATAATTATTATAGATGGACTTAATATTTTGGGGGTATAATTATTATAGTATATATAATTATTATAAATTTATAATTATTATAAATTTTATAGTTAATTATTTATATATATTTTTATTATAATTTTTAGGGGTATAAAATTGTAAAATTAATGTATATAATTATTACAGTATTTTTTTAGGGTTATAAAATTATAAAAATAATATTCTGCTTATCGTGTTTCGTGTTACCCACGTGTATACCCGAACCAACCCGTTATCTTAACAGGTGCTTATCAGGTTACCCGATAAGACCCGATTCGTTATCGTGTCGACTCAAACACCTGTTAATTTCGTGTCGTGTCGGGTCAGTTTATCGGGTCATGTCAGAAATTGCCAGGCCTAGGTACCTACTAGATCTATAAAGAGGTGAGTGCGAAACCACAGCTCAGTAAAAAACATCATCATAGACAATTGGTCAAACTAAACAAAATGCCACATAGACAACCATCCAAATCAGATTATATAGACATCTTAAGATTAATGAAAAAAAATGCTAGCCTCCTAAGGTTATTGGGCCTTTAAGCCTTAATTTGTCATACAACTTGACTTAAGAGGCTCGATACATCGAGCTCCTTGGACAAAAAATTTACTTAAAGCCCAATATGAATTTACTGTTTTATCAAAATCAACTTCTTAACATTATATTCGGATGAGGAAAATATACTTAGAATTTAGATAAAAATCAAAATTTATAAATTGACGTGCACTAATTTCTTTGTTTGGATTTATAAACATAGAAATTTAGAATTTCTACGTGGAAAAAAACCCTTAGAATTGGGACTCCAATTCCTAAGTTTAAATTTCATGTAAATATGCGTCATTTCTCAATTTCTATGATTGAGAGTTTAAAAATAACAAATTCTGTATTAAATTTTTTTTTTTTTTTTAAGTTAAACAAACAAAAAAATTCATAAATCTTTTTAAATAAATCCCGTGATTTCAATTTTCATTATTTTATCCAAACAGAGTCAACTCACCATAATCTGAAAGTCTTTTCTGTCGCAGCGGGTGTGTTCTTGCTTCGTCTTGTTTGGTTCGAGAGAAAGACGAGGACAATTTAAGAATGGCGGTCGGGAAGGAAGAGGTGGAGGAAATAGTGAAACCCCGTACGGACAAGAGGGAGTACAGGAGGATTGTCCTACCCAACTCCCTCGAAATCCTTCTCATCAGCGATCCTGATACTGACAAGGCATATTTCTTTTGATTTTCCCTTTCTCAATTCAATTCGCTTGATATTCACATTTCATAATCTTTGGTTTTTTTTTTTTTTTTTTTTTTTAATATAATTTATTAATTTTTGCTTAAATTATGTTTTCTCAGTGTGCTGCTTCCATGGATGTCAATGTTGGTGCTTTTAGCGACCCTGATGGCCTGGAGGGCCTTGCCCATTTCCTTGGTAACTTTAATTCCTGTTTAATTCTTTTGATAAGACGATATTTTAAATTATTTTAATCTATAAGGCGGTTACACGGCTGACCGAAAAAAAAAATAAAAAAAAATAAAAAAAATAAAAAAAACACCCTTCAGTTCTGAAAAAAGGCACTCTGGTTTATTCTGATGCCATTTGGGGTAGCGGTGGATAATAAAATCATGGTACACGACAGTCTCTTTAGCATCGAATAGATTTTTGATATTTCTTATTGTCAAATGAAAATTGTGGATGGTTGAATAGATCACCGAAGGAGTTTATTACATATTTGCATGACTTATTGTTAATAAGTTTTCATGGCATTGGTGTTGAAAAATAAGATGTTTCTTGACATTCCCTTCTGAATTCTGCATGTGTTTTGTTGCAGAGCATATGCTGTTTTATGCTAGTGAAAAGTACCCTTTGGAGGATAGTTACTCGAAGTACATCACCGAGGTATTTTCTGCCAAAATTCATAGCTACACATGGATTTTTGAATTTCTTTCTGCAGGAGTGCTCAATCAAAAAAAAAAAAAGAAAGTGGAATGGATTTTTGTGTTTCCTATTCTCCTTCACTTTCTGTTTCTGATTGTCAAACTTTGTGGAAAGTAGTGGAAGTTAAAATGATACAAAAGCAAATATCAAGGACTCGACTAAGAAACGTGTCATTTTGTAAGGAGAAGCCTTGTATAACTGTTCAGAATTATTTCGAGCTTGAAGATAATTCCTAACTTGCTTCTTCTTTGGGAATTCGGGAATTCTAACAGGTGTTCTTATCACTTTTATGTTTTTGATTTCACAATTGTCATTGCTTTTTGAGGTGCTATTGGTGTTTCCCATATTGTACCATTCGTTAATGTTGTTTGATGAATCGGATTGGAGATTTTGATTGACTAGTTAGCTCCTCCCCTATTCCTTTCTTCTATCTATCCAAATTCTGTAAGGTATGTTTTGTTCCGGTGCATTGTTCGCCAATCCATTCTCAGGGACTGTCCAATACGAGAGAGGCAAAATTTCTAGTATTATATGTTTTTGTGGTACTATGATGGAAGTACATTATCATGAAAATAATGTTTAACATATTCTATTTAAGAGTACGCTATATTTTTTTTTATTAGGGGTCCTAAGATTGCTTATCGACCCCTATGTGTTTTATATTCTGATGCACAGCATGGAGGGCGAACAAATGCTTATACAGACTCTGAGCACACCAACTATTATTTTGACGTCAATTCCGATGGTTTTGAAGAGGGTTTGGACAGGTTGATGCTTTTATTTCTGTTAACTGCTATCGTCATCATTACAATTCTAAGAGTTGAACCTAGTGTTGATATGTGGTTTGTTGTTCAGATTTGCTCAGTTCTTTATTAAACCATTGATGTCAGCTGAAGCTACAATGAGGGAGATCAAAGCTGTTGATTCTGGTTGGCGGCTTTGTTTTGATATATTTTTTTATACTTGATTTTTCACTGTAATGACCGTTAATGACAAATGTGTGGCTGGTGTACAGAGAATCAGAAAAACCTGTTGTCTGATGCATGGAGAATGAACCAGGTACGACTCGCCTTTGGATCATAGTCTGTCTTTATATGACTACAAGACTTTGAGTATTACTAATATTGGAAAACTATCACTGACATTCAGGCTGCGGTTAGTTTCGTTGAAGAAAAGTATATCTTTGAAATAGTTCTTGAACAGTTGAACTATTATAGTATTATGGTCCTAGTATCATATGTGTTATGCATAGTTTTATTCCAGTGTATCTGGGCAAATTGTTGCTGAATTTCATAATTCATTTATGCCTTCAAGAGGTGTCTAACCTTTTTCTACATGATTTGTCTTTGTACAGCTCCAGAAACATCTAAGTGCGGCTGACCATCCGTACCATAAATTTAGTACAGGTCAGCATTAACTGTTGATTATAACCAAATGTGCCTCGAGGTTCATATGAAACAGGAAGCAGGTCATTTTTATGTGCATATGCTTTCTGTAGCTGATAGGATTTAGTCTCTGGTTATGCATCGGTGAAGTCTCTTCACATGCTTCTGTAATTTACCCCCATTTGTTTGTTCAGTTTCTGTCTATCTGTTTTTGTGGGTTTGCTTCAAGTTTTTCACTGCATTGCAACAGTCCAACACATTTGACGTGGGCACAACCTTTGTTTAGAATTGCTCTTGCTGCTTAGTGATGCTTGGATACATATAGCAATCGCTTTCAAGTATCCAAGAAATATTTCAGTCATGCTGTGTGTTGTTGTTGAGTTCAATATCAAACTCGTAAATGCAATATAGGATGATTAAATTATTGTAAACTATATCACAAATGTCATTATCTTACAAGTGAAAAAGTTGTGAGTTTATGTGCCTGAACAGTTCTCTTATTGGACTGCCTACAGTCACTAATACTTGGGAAGAAATGACCCTTCTCTATAAATATTGTTTCTTTTGGCTGTTTGCCTGTTTTGTGGGACTATGGAAAATACAGACTTTTCTTACAAGAATACCACTGTCTATTCAGACTGTCTGCCATGTCTCTTATGGTACCTACTTTTCTTACTTGTTCAGGGAATTGGGAAACTTTGGAGGTCCGTCCAAAAGCAAAAGGATTGGATACCAGAGATGAGCTTATTAAGTTCTATGAACAATATTATTCTGCTAATGTCATGCATCTTGTCATTTATGGAAAAGGTTTGTAGTTACATTCACATACAAGGGTCCGATTCAGTTTCCCTGTGGTCAAGTTAATAATTATCACTATGGATATTTCAGAAAACCTTGATAAAATTCAAGCCACTGTAGAGGACAAGTTTAAGGATATTAGAAACATTGACCGCAACTGCCTTCATTTTGATGGTGAGCCTTGCACATCAGAACATTTGCAGGTACACATGCTTCTGTTAAACTTTTTATGCTGAGTTGAACTTGCTTTCAGGACATACAGAATTGCTGATAAGGAAAAAAAAAACCTTTAAAAGGTCCTATATTCAGATGTATAATTCTTTTCGGGTTTCTCTTGTGCGTTTATTTCAGATTCTTGTCAAAACTGTTCCAATCAAAGAGGGTCATAAGCTGAGACTTGTGTGGCCAATAGCTCCAGAAATTCATCATTACAAGGAAGGGCCCTGTAGGTATCTTAGTCATCTCATTGGCCACGAAGCAGAGGGGTCTTTGTTTGCCGTCTTGAAAGCTTTGGGTGAGTTTTGGATTATCTGTTACATGCTTCAGATAATGAGTTTTTGAGCAGATGGTATTTGTACTTGGAACTCTTGAGAATAGAGGCCAACTTTTTTCATAATTTTCATTTCAGTGCCTTTCATAGACTACCTCTTTGTGTTAGATGATTTATAATTAGGCAGGGTGGCAGCTACTGTTCACAGTTCCTGTTTATCATCCTACACTTCACACTCTATGCTTTATCATTTTACTCCATAATTGTTTTTTTTTATTTTTTTTTTATCTGAATTATGAAGGTTGGCATCGTACTTGGGTATTATTTATAATGTTTGGTTATCATGCAATTGATTTACGTAGATATGGAAAGTAGTTGCCGGATTCGGTGAAATAGCGTCCAAGTTCCGTATCGGTAAGGACATACCGATACTTGGGCGATTTGATGGTGAATTCGTTGGTTAATCTAGCCATCTCTAATAATTTATAATCAGATTACAGAAAAGAAAAACGCAACTGTAAATTTTGGGAAGAAAAACGCACCTGTAAATTTTGGGAGGAGAGGAGTGAAACAACTGAAATTTTGGGAAGCACTGCTTTTGGATTTCATCAGGCAGAGGAAGACGAAGAGGGAGAGGAAGAGAGAAAATATTAAGCTTAATTGTAATTTTTAAGTTTTTAATTGTGTTAGTGGAGGACCCATCTGCAGTATTATTTTTTAGAAGAGGCATGTAAGGAGTCCAGGTCCCCATAGCATTTCCCCATTCCCAAATTAATTTGAGAATATTTATATTATTCTGATTAAAAAGTTATGTGAAATAATTGTCTTTGATTTGTAAACAAATAATTGCGTACAAATAATCATTTCTATAAAACACAAATAATTGCTTAGAATAAATAATAACTGTAAAATGTATAATTATAAATATTTTTACTATCAAACCAATTTAGAACGAATCGTATTGTCTCTGCGTACTCTCTGGCAAATGTTACTATAGGTTACTAGAGTAGCAAATTCCGTACTCGAACCGTACTCCGTATCTGGTTACTAGATCTGTTATGTATTTAGATGACCAAGCTAAGAGCATGAATGAATTCTGATCGTGTTTTGTAGCTTTTAGAGCATTTTGAATGCTGCTAACTTTTCTTTTTCTGTTTTTATTCTGGTTGTTTGGGGTGGTCTGCTTGTCCAGCCTTCTGTGTTCTGTGTTTCTTTTCTCTTTAATATAATCATCTCTTTATCAAAAAAAAAATGGTTGAATTCTCAACTTAGTGGGTAAAGATGAAAATTCCTTGATGCGGTTAAATTCTATCCCACTTATAGGATGGATGAAGTTAATATGCTTGGGTTGACTTCAAGTTTTCTTTTGTTCTAAAAATTGCAGGATGGGCAACAGGTTTGTCTGCTGGGGAATCGGATTCAACGTTGGTCTTTTCTTTCTTTAGAGTAGATATGGATCTCACGGACGCGGGTCATGGTTAGTTTACTTTTTAGTGTTTCCATTTTTGGGTAATCTTATTTCTCCCATCCTCTGCTCCCCTCCCTCTAGGCTTCATTTCATTTTGGATGAGTGTCTCTCACTTATCTTTAAGACAGCTTGAAATGCTTACTAACATTTTCTTTTGTCAGGAGGCATTATTTTAACTTGTTTTGTCGTTTTCTAGAATGTGATAATCCTTTTGATTATTTTGCAGAGCACATGCAAGACATAGTAGGTTTGCTTTTCAAATACATTTCCCTCTTACAGCAGTCGGGTGTTTGCGAGTGGATTTTTGATGAGGTATGCGTGTGCATTCTAGTTTATGAATTACTGGTGCATGATACCTTCCTCTGCATTGTGTGTCTAGGATCGTCTGTAGTATCCTTCACAGTATGAATCACTGGTGCGTAGTGTTACCAATAACATGGCTAATATGTCATGGTTTCATATTATTTCTTGATTCTGAGCTGTGCAATCCTTCACATTTGTTTTTCATCGTTAGAGAAAGAGTAGTCTAAGGGTGATTTTTTCAAGTTTTTGGTGTCATCTCAAGGACTCCAGGGGTTGAACTGGGTGTACATATATGATTCATCACCATGTTCTCTTGATTTCTTTATTTCTAAACAGTTTAAACACTGCTGCAGTTTGATTTGAGGAATGAATTATAGAATTTTGTTAATTTCGATGTTCAGATTTGGTATGGAATTTGTCTCTCTGATTCTTTCTCAAGGACTCTGAAAGGAATTGTGATTATTGTAGCTTTCTGCTGTTTGTGAGACGAAGTTTCATTATCAGGACAAAATGCAGCCTATTAATTATGTCGTCAGCATTTCGACAAATATGCAGGTATTAGGCTCTTGGTTTAGTCTTGCTTTGTTTAAGGATACTGAAGTGGATTGTGTTTAATGTAGTATCCTCTATAATTTGTGTTCGAGTAGTTTGTAATTAATTTCTGGTCCCTGAACTTTTTTTTTAGATTGATTGATATTTTGTTTCCATTATGCATCTTTATTCAAATGAGAACATTGTGCTTTTGATGGTGGAATTGTAGTATGTTGAAAATTTTCTAAGTTGTTTTGTTGGAAAGAAGGGGGAGAAAATTTTTACAGAAAATTTGAGAAGGTGGTTTTCTTTTGGGATAGAGCAAGATTCTGGGCAGCTTTGTGTACATCGGTATCAAATGAATATAAAAATTTCCAGTTTTTCTATCTTCATGTGGATTATGGAGCTACTACTTTTAAGTTTGTTAATTCTTAATGGCCCTGTGCTATAATTGTATTGTTTGTTTGTAAAAGGTAATAATTGTACCGTCTGGGGGAACTGCTTGTTTCCTGCTATTGTAGTGTTTTGTTTTACATTGTTAAAGTTCTTTGGTTTCTGAAGAAGTTCTGGACAGGAGGAACTATTCTAGTTTGGTAATTAATGTTCACTTGCTTCTTATTCACATGACATTTTTATATCCGTATCCAGAGATATCCCCCAAGAGATTGGCTAGTAAGATCATCCTTGCCTTGTAACTTCAGTCCAGACACTATCCAAGTGGTGCTTAACAAGCTTTCTCCAGACAATGTCAGGTAAGTGTATCACTAAGTTGGATTCTATAGAGTTATGTAACTATTTTCCAAGCAAATCCTTCTTGTCGATTGAAATAAGTTTCCTCATAAATTTATGGAGTAATGGTCTTTTTTTTGTACAGAATTTTCTGGGAATCCAAAAAATTTGAAGGTCATACTAACATGACTGAGCCATGGTATGGAACTGCTTATTCTGTCGAGAAAATTAGTGGCTCACTGATTCAGGTTGGTTATGAATTCTTACATAAATCAATATATATATTGAACAAAATAGCATTAAGAAGTTGGAGTTTATATTGGAGTGATACGGATGCGTAAGGTTTGGCACTTTTTTTTGTTAATCTCATCATTTTGCAGATTTTATGTATATTTTAAAGGGATAAGAGAAAACCACTTTGATCCCAAAAATTTTTCATTGGTGTAAATCTCTTTTTATATAATATATATTGATGAATACAGTAGCGCTAAGCAGTTTTATTTCTTTTTTTGGGGTGATAAGAATGTGTTAGGTATGTTGCTTTTTTTGTTAATTTCATCAGTTTAGAGAAGTAATGAATCTTGTTAACGGAATATGAGGAAACCACTTTGATCCCTAAACCTTTTCATTTGATTGCAGGAGTGGATAGTATCTTCCCCAAATGAGAATCTGCACTTACCAGCCCATAATGTGTTCATCCCCACTGACTTGTCGCTTAAGAATAATCATGAGAAGGTGTGATGAATGGTAAATTCTCTAAGTTAGTACAACTTTAAAAAAATTTCTGATGCGATTACTTTTCTTTCAGGCCAATTGTCCAGTTCTGTTAAGAAAGTCGCCGTGTTCAACACTTTGGTACAAGCCTGATACAATGTTCTTTACTCCTAAGGCTTACGTTAAGATTGATTTCACTTGTCCCCACGCAAGTGAATCCCCTGAAACAGAAGTCCTAACTAATATGTTTACTCAGCTGTTGATGGATTACTTGAATGAATATGGTAAAATTCCGTACTTACAGCTTCCTACTTTCTTCCATTGATGGTGACCTATTTTGTTTTTCGCTTACAACAAAGGTGTTATTTTCTTGAACCAGAGCTTATGTAATTTTTTTTTTTTTTTGTCAGCTTACTATGCTCAGGTTGCTGAACTGTTTTACGGAATAACCCACACAGATAGGGGGTTTCAGGTATTGTGTCCGACTATGTAAAACTTCCTAGCCGGTTCTTTGGATTGTTATTTTGTTTTTGTAAATGAGCTTTTATTTTCTTGTGTAGGTGACTCTGGTTGGCTATAACCACAAATTAAGAATTTTACTGGAAACTGTAGTTGAGAAGATTGCAAGCTTTAAAGTGAAAGCTGATAGGTTCGCAGTCATCAAGGTAACCTTAAGGCTCCTTGTACCTAAAACTGTTATATTTTAAATGTTTCAATACATTGTTCTAGATGAGCATTTTGATAAGCTATTAGCGGCAGAAGAGTAACTGGATTAATAATTTTTGCATATCTTAATTTCGGCAGCGCCAACAAGATTTCTGAAAAGAGACAGGTCATATCTACCTATTTATTTTCAGAAATAATTTTGGAACAGTCTCTGTATTAGCTATTTTAGGATGTCCAAGATTCCCCTCCTGCTCTCTTAAACCTGTAGTAGAGTTTGTCATGATCATGGAGATTTTCTAAGTTGGCATAGAGAATCTTTGCCGTGTATATCTCATATTGAGAATGTGTAGTCTTGCCCTTAAGAAATATAATGTCTTTGGCCTCTCCCTCCATGTCCAATTTTTATTGGTTGGTGGGATGCTCTGGTTCTATCATGTCATAAAAACAGGAAATCACCGTGTCAGGCGCAATGGCCACACATGCTTCGATGTTCCTTGATATAAATTATCCACATTTTTGGCTCAAACACACTACACGTGAGGGGACATGTTGAGAGTATATCTCACATGGGACTGCAAAACCTTGGTTTATAGAATGTAGAATGTTCTATGTGTCCGGGCTCAATTGGTTTTGGGTTGCATGATCAATCAATCTTTTTTTCTCTTTTGCAAAAAATTTACAATCACACTGTGGCCCAAAATAATACACTTATTATGAACATTCTAACTTGTAGGTACAAACCTAGATTTCATCATCGTCGTCGTCGTCGTCATCATCATTGTCATCATTATTATTGTTAATCTTCATGACCGAACATAATTAATTTGTGATTTTTATCATTTAGTCTGTTTTCCTCAGGAGCACTTTCTTCTTGCATTTTTCTATTGCTCTGAGACTTGATAATTGTAGCTTTTTTTATTAGGAAAACTAATGAAAAGGGCTTGAAAACTTTGAGTTTTAATGATAAGGACAAAATAAAGAGTAAAATGAATAGTACTAGGATTGACTTTTTAGTGTAAAAATATGGTTTTTCGTTAAAGTGAACAGTATCAGGAGCTTTTCGTTAAAGTTCCCTTTTTAATTTTTGTCATGCCTTTGCTGAACTCATTCCTTTGAATGTTTGCATTGGCTTAACCGCTTCTTACTTGTGTTATTTTCCTTTTTCTGTATCAGGAAATGCTCATAAAGGGGTACCAAAACTTGAAATTTCAACAGCCTTATGAGCAGGCTATGAACTACTCCGCATTAATTCTACAGGATCATACTTGTCCATGGACGGAAGAACTTGAAGCTCTTCCTCACCTTCAAGTTGAAGATCTTGCTAAGTTTGTCCCTTGGATGCTCTCGAGGGCCTTCGTGGAGTGTTATACAGCTGGTTACCTTTTTTGTTTCCTTCAAACAATTCAGGATATATCTTGTTATCTTGATTTTAGTTTTCATTTTTGTATTGTTATTCAACGTTAGTTATATGCTTTTGCAGGAAACCTTGAAAAGAACGAGGCTGAGTCAATGATCCAGCATATTGAAGATGTTTTCTTTAAGGGCTCAAATCATATTTCCCGAACTTTATTTCCATCCCAGCATTTGACTAATAGAGTTGTGAAACTTGAAAAGGGCAAGAGCTACTTCTACTCTGTGGAAGGACTTAATCCAAGTGACGAGAATTCTGCCCTTGTCCACTATATCCAGGTTCATAAATTTGTTTACAGAAGGAATAAACTAGATTTTGTTGGATGGAGTATTTCATTTTAGACGGTCTTGTTCAAAATTCAGAAAACCTTGTAAGAGTTCCCACAGAAATGTTTTAAACCAGCAATTTTTTCTCAGTACAGAAAATAATTTTCAGGAAATTTGAATATTATTAGAGCTGCACAACTTCTAAAATGTGTAAATTTTTAGTTGCAGCACAGGTTTTGTGTTTGTTTTCAACAGTGTTTCAAAAACTAGTTTTAAGATTCAGCTTGGCGGTTGATGGGGCGGGCGAGGTCGGGGGAGGGGGGGTTGTGGGGTGTGGGTGGTTTGGGGGTTGGGGGGGATGTGGTGGTGTTGGGGTTGCTACGAAGAAGACGCCCCTGACCTGGGGCATTTGAATTTTTTTTTTCGGGAAAAAAAAATAAAAAATAAAAAAGAAAAAAGAAAAAGGGGCCCAAACCCAAAACGTCGTTGTTTTGGGCAGGGTTTTTATAAAATTCATGCTACTTTTATGTTTCTTAGTTTCTAATAGTTTATTATGACTTAATTGATATGAATTAGAGAAATAATAATAATAGTCAAATATTTGATTGCTCGGCATGCTTGCTTGATTGTTTAATAAAGGATTATATTTTGTGTATATATGTATATCATGTGTGTGTGTGTGTGTATGTTACATATTATAATAATTATACGTACCATGAGGTATCACCTCACGTCTCAAGGCTATCGCCTAGGTGAGGCTATCCATGAAACGCCTTGGCTCCGCCCTCACCCTTTAAAACATTGGTTTTTAAACACAATTATGTTAATATGTGTAGGTTCATCAGGATGACTTTATGCTGAATGTGAAACTTCAGCTGTTCGCTCTTGTTGCAAAGCAGCCTGCCTTTCACCAGCTTAGATCTGTTGAGCAACTTGGTTACATCACGGTCCTCTTGCAGAGGAATGATTCTGGTATCCGTGGGGTGCAGTTTGTTATACAATCCACTGCGAAGGTATAAGCATGCTTCTATTATTGTTGCCCTGTTGCCTTGTCCTTCTATTTCACAGTATGTTATGTTGATCTCAACAGGATCCAGCACATATTGACTTGAGAGTGGAGGAATTCCTCAAGGGGTTCGAGAGTAAACTTTATGACATGCCTAGTGACGAATTCAAGGTGAGATCAACTAGGCTTTATCCTTAACTCCTGTTCCTCTAGTTTTACTACATCTTTTATGCAGCTTTAATCTGTTCTGTATGGAAAATATTTAGACTTCCTTAAAATGTCCGGCAATACCATTTTTACCTTGCATTGGTCTGTCTGCCTTTTATTATCTTCATCCATATCATCTTCACCCTTCCATCAGTCTTTCTTGCGATGATTCGTATCCCCATTTACAGATGGTAGACGACTTTTAATATCAATGCTCGATCACTTCTACATAAAATGCGAACCCAAAAATTAAAAATGTTTAATGTAGGATGTCATATATGATTGTGAGCCTAGTCGTAAAACTTAGATGAGAATTCGGAGCATCGAAGGGATAGATTTTATGATAAATAACTGTTGGAACTGTTTTCTACGTAGAGCAACGTAAATGCATTGATCGACATGAAGCTTGAGAAGCACAAGAATTTAAGGGAAGAAGCTGGATTTTATTGGAGGGAGATTTCAGATGGGACACTCAAGTTTGATAGGAAAGAGTCTGAGGTATGAATTCAATGTTTTAAGATACTTATACAATTTGAGGTGATCGATTCATTTTACTCTTTTCAGTACAATTGAATTGGAAAAATGCCTGAGATAAATGTGCCTATGATTACAATTTACATAAATTGTTGAAACTTGAAACAGATTGCAGCACTGAGGCAGCTTACACAGCAAGAATTGATAGATTTTTTCAATGAGCATATAAAAGTTGGGGCTCCTCAAAAGAGGTCGTTAAGCGTACGAGTGTACGGGAACTCACATTCATCGGAGTACGCTACACATACAAACTCACCGGTGCAACCTTGCTGCGTCAAAATAGACGACATATTCAGCTTCAGAAGGTCACAACCTCTTTATGGTTCATTCAAGGGAAGTCATGTGAAATTGTAGACTTGAGAAGTAGATATCTGGACAAAGTTATAGAAGAACACCAGAAAAACTAACTTATCAGTATTAGTATTTACCAAAAAAACTAACTACATTTGTCCTTGTAACTTACCAGAAAAAGGTAAAAAGTAAAAGGGTGTTGTTATCCACACTTTTTTTTACCTCTTGATTTCCGTTCGTTGGAAGGTAAAAACAAGTGTCTGGATAGTACAACCTAAATAAAAAATATAAAAAATAAGGCATTGTCGTTGTCATTAAAAAATGTTTTATTTGTGTAATCGATGTTGAGTGACCATTGAATTATCAATATATGTATTATTTCATTTATAATCTGTTTATTTCATGAATTAATTAAGAGATTAAGATATGCAGTTTGGCATGTATGTAATATTTATATTTGGGATACAAACACTTAAGTGAAGGATGATGTATTTGTTCGAAAGGTTGAAGCAATGCGTCACCCCCAACTAAATTTCTCTGTGTCCTTCACACGAGGTTTTTCAAAAGAGTTGCAACCGTCCAACAGGACGCTGGTATTGATCATTGTTGGTTGGCACAAATGACGTTTGCTCATCACCATTCACTTAGTTACCTATCACGTGTTATTTTACTTAATTTTTACTATTTTTTTTCAAAATTGAAAATGTAACATTTAATAAGAAAGTTAACTAATGTTAGGTAAAGAACATGTGGCACATGATTAGATGTATAGTAAGTATACACTATAGTTATGATGGTGAGCAAAAATACTCCCCACGACATATTTACATTGAGATTAAAAATATACATATATCTAGTGGAAATATAGACACTTTGTTATAAATAGGTAAAAGTGAGAAAGAGAGATAACGTTTGCTTGAGATAAAAGTGGAATAGGTGCAATGTATCATACTATTTATTTTCATAAGTGTATCACACAATGCAAGTAAAGAGAGGGAAGGGGTATATGTATTATTGTTTTCACTCTTGATCTTATGTGTTGTTTGATCATACAGTGCATGCTCTTTATATAGTCATTTACGTGCAAAAGTCTACAAGGAAGATTAATGCATGTTAAAAACTATATCATCCAACAATAACAAAATCTGACAATACCACTATTTTTAGTCCTTACTTTTTTACTTTTGATTAAAGGCTAGATTGGTATTGCTGTGTTTTGAAAAAAAAAACTGTTTCTGCTGTGCTTTGAAAATAAGTAGCTATGAAATAAAGTAGCAAAGTGTTTGGTAAACTTTTTGGTAAAAGTGCTTTTGAAAAAAAAAACAGTATTATAGTGTTTGATAAACTTTTATGTAAAATAGATTTGAAAAAAAAACTAGTTTTTCAAAGCTGGGTTTTGCAGCTTTGTGTTTTTGGCTTTTTTTACCCAAAACTGTAAAAAAAAAAACTGAAGCTGAATGTTTACCAAATATAAAAAAGTTCCCAACTTTTTTTTATAACTACTTTTTTTAGAATCACCTTAGTACCAAACTATAGCTAAATCATCTGGAATTCAATTCCCATAAATTTTACAACACACTTCGATTTTCAAGAAAATACTACAACGTTCCTTCAAAGTGCTGTTTTTTCAACAAAGTCATTTCCCGTGACTATTATATATATATATATATATATATATATATATATATATATATATATATATATATATCATCCACATACCCACAACCATGGTACTCACCTCGTCACCCTTTCGCTTCAAAAGGTGTGGTCACGTGTGGTCAAATTAGCGTAATGGGCTATCCATAAATCTGCTAGAGATATGAGAACCCAAATTTATATTAATGCTTTCCATCGGAGCAAATGTGTTAATTTTTGCTACCGGAGCCACTCTTTGGGATTATCATCTGCAAATATATCAGATATGTAGGGATTACAAAGATATCGCAAAAGGATCTGCTTTTCAACTATTTTTTTTTTAGCCTCCCACATGCTCTTCTTTATTTCTGATTATCAGATTAAATAAATCAAATAAAGACAACGAACATGATTGAACAAGAGTATGTAAGAAGAGAAAGAAAAAAAAGTGCTTATCATTTCCCTACAGAATTTCATATTTTTTTGTAAAAGTTTTCTTTTTTGCAATGTAAGTGCAGCTCTCTCCCTCCATTTTACAATTCTCGGAGAAAATTGGTGTCGAATGCCGAAAACACTATCTTGTAATGGAACCGTGCACTAAGCCGAGAGCTCAACATGATGAATGAGATGATAATCTGCACAGAAAGAACTCAAGATCTTCTCCCCACTACTGCACCTAATTAATCACGAGAAGTGTTTGGGGAGTTTAGGGTTTATGATTATTGCAGGATGAGCAAGGAACTCAAGTACGGACTATACTAGAAACCCTAATAGCCTATGACTGTATTATCAAAGTCTGCGAGGCTTTCTTTGCTCACAAGAAATCCCTTAATTGCACTAAGTTAAATTCGGGAATATCACTTAACTTGGTCCACAAGGAATAGTATAATTAAAACTCTAACCTTCCTAAGTTAACTGTGAAACCAATTCTGGATAGGGAACTAGGGTTTAGTCTAACAAGATTTAGTTCTCATAAGTGCTATCTTTATGCTGGTTGGATATGGATCCTTTGTAGTTGAAGAATTGTAATCCTCTATTTCTTATGAATTATAATTGCGTAGTTGTGGTGTTTCTTTCGGCATGTATGACCTTTGTTCCACAGGGATTTCCCATGTGGTTTTTTCTAATTAAAATATGCTAAAATCACGTTTGACATGCAGATCTTATGTAACTTCTAGAACGTTCTTAACGAAGTTTCATTTGGCCTAAAAAAAAAATCTACTTCTTCGTTGCTATTTACATTTCTAATATGGACGACAACGAGATTCCAAATTCAATCCCTCTCTCCTAATGTTTGTAAAAATGTTGCTAATAATAAATAATCACAAGTGAATTTTAATTTGGCAAATTGGCTGAAATAATAAATTTACAAGTTTCAATTGTTATCCCTTTGTAGTATTTGATCGATCTACATCAACACTTATCGTCAGTATGTAATTTTGACCGGTTCAACAATTACAATTTATAAATTCATATTTCAGCATATTTCTTTATGTAGTTTACAAGTTTGATAACATTTCAAATTTTCAGGTTGTAGTGGTAAAGCATATTATCCTCTACACCCCTAGCATGAATTCAACCCCAAACAATCACTCCCTTTGAAAAGCAGAAAAAGGAAGAAAATCTCCAAAGCATATAAATATAGAAATATGCTTTAAAAGATAATAAAAAACAATGAAGCCAAGAGAAACCAAATACCGTTTTGAGAGAGATCTAGAATTCTCACTATTTTTTAGGTTTATAAACCAAATTCAAGTTAATGAAACCTTTAATAGGAATTTTCACAAAACTATCAACTAATCAGAACGGTTCTTTATCAGGCTGTGGTACTTGATTCGCCATAAAAGAAGAGGATTATATTATAACAATCCTTTTAGTTGCTTCGTTCTCTATTTCTATGTGAGCGAATTCTTAAGAAAATCATTTTGTTTCTACCGAGCTAAAACAATTTGTCGAATAAAAGAATTGTCTTCCAAATTTCACAAGAAACCCAACATGGGTTAAAGTCTAAAATTCTAAGAAAACAGATTGTATACAATTCTGGATGCTAAGATCATCATTCAAACAAAAACAATTAAAATATTTAATTGGCTATTCTCTTTCAACACCAAAGTTTAAGTCCCTCCCCGTCGTTGAGATAATTTTAACGAAAAATATGTTATGGTTTGTAAAAAAAAAAAAAAAAAATCGAATCGAAAATAAAATTTGCCACAAATATTGTAATATTTCATTGGGAAAAATCAGATTAATATTTCATTCTTTCCTTTCTTTCTTATCACAAAACAGAATACAACAAAAACTCATTGGTGGTGTTGGTCTCCATATAAGCTGCCGCCGCCGCCTTGACGCCGCAACTGGTCATGATGACGTCATCAACTGATCTGCCACTGTGGTGGGCTTCTTCTGGGGTGGAAGATGATGGTGCTCTTGATCGGAGGTAGAGGAGCTGGAGGGAGGATGGTAATACAACCGTCCGGTTTGTGGGCAATGAGAGTGAAACCTTGCTGCTATTCTCACCCCCGTATCCAATAATTCCACCCACTTCGCCGCCATCTCTTTGGATTTTTATGTCTCTCTGCCAATCTTTTTCTTGCTCTCTTCGTAAAGAGAGAGAGAGAGAGAGAGAGAGAGAGAGAGATGGGGAGAGAGAACCCAATACAAAGAAGGGGAAGACCTTGGTCCTTTTAATAGCCTTTCCTACGGTATTTTTGTCCTTCCATTTGTATGGTTTTATACAAAGGTCCCAAATTTTCTATCAATTGTTGTGGTGCCCTTTTATTTTCATTAATTTCTTCTTATGTGAAAGGCTTCAACGAATCAATTTACTCAATTTTTAGGGCAAGTGGTGGTGTGGATATATTAAAAAAGCTTACGAAAGAAACAAATTTAACCAAAAAAACATGGTAGATTCTATTATTTTGGTGTGGGTTAGCCCGATTTCAACAACTAACTGTGGGGGTACAAAATCAAAATCTATGATTTATTAAAAAAGAATAAATTTTTAGTTTATAAGATAGTAGCGTATTTGGACAATTAAAGTTACAACGTCAAAACTTGTGATTTGCTACTTACTTATGCAAAGTGTGGAATTTTTTACTAACTTAAAGATTTAAGGGGCACTAAATATGACCGTTTAATTTGATATCAAGTGAGGTGATAATATAAATTTAGACTTGCACACTTCAAATATAAATTTATAAATTAAAAATTGCACGGTTTTTTAGGGTGATGTGTCCACGTGATGACCAGAATGAAATAGAATTCCACCATATTAAAGAAAAGTTGAAATATAGCAGAGTTGAATGCCTGAAATGAAAATATGCCAGAATAAATAACCCTCGCAACTTTTTCTAGGCCAAGATTTGACTCATTTATTTTGTTAATTCATTTTTGGTCCAAGGAATGCTGCGTCGTGTTCTGCAGGGCTACGCGTTGAATATTCGCATTTAGTCGAAGACTCGGTGCTGAAACGGAAGAACATCAGCCGCTTATGTGGTATAGAACGCTTTAGGGCATGAAAATACCGAAAAGTCCCTTCTTATAAGCCCTTAGTTGGATTTCCTTGAGGGTTCTTCATATGACTATCCATTTTTTTTTTTTTTTTTGAAACAATCGATATTATCCATACTAAGAAAAAAAATCAGACTTAATCTCATACTGAACTAGCAATAATATGATTTAAATTCACATTTGACGAAAATCGAACTTAATACGTCTCACTTATTAGTGAAAAGAAAAACTATCCATTTTTATCCTTTGATACGTGAACTATGATT